TAACAAGCGTAAAGTGAAACGCATAAGGTTAATTCATAACTTGACAGGTTTCTATGAAGGAAAAAAAAAAAAGAAAAAAAAAACGAAACTCTTTGAAGGTAAAGCGAATGCAAAAATCTCGTTTTCGCATCAACTAGCTCATCTCCAAAGTGCATTGCTCCCGCGAAACCATCGAAGCGGCGATTAAGGCTACCAGCCAGAAGGATCGATGGGATAGAATGGAGAAACAACTTAATGGAGGGAAAAGACTCGCGAGTATATTTAGAGGCGGAACACTTCAAAGGGACAGGGTTGAGCCGTCGCTTAGGGCTCATTCAAATGAACCAACATGCATCGGCATATTTCAAGAACAGGTCCATCCCTTTCGTATTTAATGCAATGTAAATACCAGTGGAAGAGCAAACACTTGCCAGTTGGCCAATTAATTGGCCCGGGCTTCTAAAGAAAAAAGTCAAATGTTTCCACGAAACAAATCTCTCTCTCTCTCTCTCTCTTTCTCTCGGGATAATATAAACAGTTCAATTATAATATAAATACTATATAAATACTAAATTATAACAGTTCAAATAATATAAACATTCAATTAAACGAGCCCACATCACTAACAAGAAATATTTCCTCTTCGAGGAATTATTTACCCCTGATCTCTGACGCCTGAAAACTGGATGGCAAAATCACGATTTCAATTAAGAATTCGCGAACGTTTCATTTCGAAGGTAAACCAGCGCGCGTCAAGTGATTTGAACCGAATTCCCATGAGCACAATGCATTTCAATATATCCGTTGACTTTTGCTCACTTCGTAGTTTTACCGCCGCAGCTCTTTTGTTTGCCGAAATAACGCTTTAGTAAACCGCAACAATGTTGGAGATACTCGGAGCCACTCAGCTTGTAGCTTTATAACGCGTATTGTACTCAACCGGTAAAAAGAGAAAAAGAAAGGGGGGGGGGGAGGGGGGAAAAGAACAGAGGAGCGTAAAGAAGAAAGGCGAAATAAAGCCGAAAAACATTTCACCGCGAGCCAAATGCTAGAAATTTCACCGCGTATGACCCTATCATCAACCTGACTACTACTTTCCGCTCCGTGTTCATCCCCTTGCATAAATGGCGCGTAATTCTCATAGAGAACGTTCAAAAGAAATGAAATACTTACCTTGCTGCACGAATGAGTCCGATCGCTTGCTCGAGATCCTTCGACCGTAGTAACTTTTGGACCTTCTTCATCGCATCGACCCTGGAATCAAGAAGACCACAAGACACAAGTGAAAATATCCTCTGCGTCAAAAGTTCAATCTTCCGATATCGCTAATGATGCAACAATAAAATAAAAACAACATAAACATACTTTTGATCGTCTATAGGTACAGCCGATGCTGCGTCAAATGGCACAACTTGCGGTATCGTTCCTTCCTGCATTACAATCGACAGTTGAGGATTAATTTCATCCCAACGTTCTTCCAAGCTTCTTCGAGCCGGTGGCTGCGCTTTCTTTACAGCTTCTGTATACATTCGAGATGATCAGAAACCACGTTTTGCTTGCTTGCAGATCGAAAGGAAATAATGTTTCGACCCTTACTCTTTCTACCTGCGCCCTTCGGTCGCGTTTGCTTCACTTTTTGGACTATTATATCACGTTTGTTTCTGCCGCAATGATTGCTCAGCATTTTTAAGAAGACGTGCGCCGTTGTGGTGAGGTCGATCAAATATTGTCTACAAAAAAAGGAAGATGCAAATTCGATGAAATGGTTATTCGAAGCCGTCGCGGCGTCGCCTCGAATGAAACAGTCGTTGTCGTGAAATTAATACAGTCCCGTCCCGTTTGTACAGTTTGCAAGTCGTAACATCAGCAACGAAGTTTTGCTGCGCCCGTCAAGCCTTGTTTTCGTCAGCGTCACTGGAACGTCAGGGTAACGACGATATCGCGCCCCGACCCTTACATTTCCGCGGTGGAAATCCTCGGAAAACCCGTCAAACTCGCGAAAGTTGAACGGGCCGTCGCCTTTCCCCATTTCGCTGGCCGGAAGGTCGATAGAAGTTGTTTATTCCAGCAAGACGCGAAAAAGAAAAGAGCAGGGCCAGACAACAGCGAAGGGAGGAGAAGAACGAGGAGGAGGAGGAGGAGGAGGAGGAGGAGGAGGTACAGTCGAAAAGAAACGAGGAAGTACGAGCGGAAGTAGCTCTCTCGTTGTTCGAGCCGATTGATTCGAAAGTAAATCAATCTGTCTGCAGTAGATAAAACTTTTAGCAAACAGTTTTTCATTCTCCACTCCCGTCCACTCGATAAACAGACACTCGAAGTATGAAACGGCAAGACCAACGAAACAGTAAATTGCGCCATTAATTTTCACTACAGATATTTAAAATTTCTCGCAAGACGTCAGACGCTTGTGACTCCCCCACGTCGTTGGAGAAATGTTTGAAAATTCATACCAAGTCCGTTCTCGATTTTCTACCTTACATTTTTTTAGAAGATTATCATTAAAACGTCACTGTTGATTACAACTGTAATTTGAATGAGATTTATAAAACAAACTCAATCAACCAAGTTTTGTCAAAAAATTCATACATTACAAAAGATTTTCTTAATACAAACCGGGACATTTTAAGCTCGTCGAAGCAGAGTAGTTGAGAAAGAATCGTTTCTCGATATTCCGGGACATAAAACACGTTACTCTTAATAACCTTGCTGGATTCTTTGACACTGCGATCTGTACTTTGATCCATCGCCAATAAAGTGTACAGAAGTTCCTACAATAACGGGAAGGAAAAACGTATCATGTCATTCATCAAACGGAAAGAAATATCAATGCTCGGCTCCTCACCTGATATGCTTTCAATGCTAAATGCAATCTACGAGACCAAAGAGGAATTTTCTTCTTGTCAATAATTATCATCTCGTAATAATGTTCCATTTGTCTTTGCACTAGATGAAATATTCCCGTAGATATCGTTTCGCTGTCGAGCGATGAATCAATATGAAAAAAGAAGAAGAAGAAACATGTGTTACATTAGTTTTGAAAAGAAGTTTTGAAGAATGAAACGTACTTCGAATTTCCAGATTAAATTAATTGATCATTGAATTGAAATTAATCTGAAGCCTGAAGAACAAGCTTTAAATAAGAAAAGAAGATCGTGATCGTAAATTGCCAACATTCCTTCATGCTTCGAATGATAATGAGTATTCAACGAGCACTTGTTGGAAGGAAAATTTAAATCCCAACAATACATGTTGCTTAAAGCAGAGCACGTAAAAGCGCTTACACTGAAAATAGCTAGAAAATGCTTCTCGAAGACAAGAATCTAAAGAGAGCGACGATGCGTAAAACGAGTTCGAAAACTATCTCTGATCCTTTCCTCGACGTTTACTCTCTGGCGATATACTTCTTTTCTTTTTTTTTTTTTTTTTTTTTTTTTTTTCTTCTTCTTCTCTCTGTTACGAAATAAGAAAGCTGCAGCGACTTACCTCACGTATTTTACTTCAAACTTGTAATGGCGATTGAACTCCATGAAGAAACGCAAGGCCCACAGATAACAAGTTACTTCGGATTGATTTTTTTGAACGTCGCCAACTATAGAGGACCTGGCGTATCTCATTACGGAGTTGTAAGCGGCATTCAGGAATTCTATGCAAAATTCTTTCAAAACTAGCCTCACACTCAGCGCGGACGTACGTTCGTTCCTTGGGTCCGTCATCGGACGTTTGTTCTTCGGTTTTGCCACTTTTCTCTAATGTCACGTTGAAATCAGACCAAGATACATGTTGCAATTACGTTTCCATCGAAATTATTCGACGAATAATTGTCAAAAAGAAAAGAAAACAAATTTTGCACAGTCAGAGATAATTGAGGAATAGCAAGGACTGACAGACTTTATGCCTTTCGTTGTTTCTGCGTGTATAACAATTTCGGTAAAAATTTAGGAGCGAAAGAAAACAGAAAAGAAAATTCCATAAGAGATGCGGCACGAGTCACTGATCACCTGGATTCGAGATAGCCGTCAGGCATGTGACCCAGTAGATTTATGACAGCCCATAATGAAACGAGCTACGAGAAGAAGCAAGCTAGGAAAAGTTTGTCTTCAAATACGGATGTTCCGCGAAGGAGACGGTAATAACGATGTAAGAGGGAGAGGGATCGTTTTATAGTCGAGCAGGACACAAGAGGGCAGGAGAAAAGGAAGAGAAATGTCCGCGAAAAGAGCGCTGACCTAGTTTTAAATGCTTCAGCACCATTAAGCAAGGAGCCAGTTCTAATTACGCGAGGATAGCCTTAATTAACAACCGTATTTTCATTCAAATCCACCCAGCCTTCATCCCTACTTATTCATTAATGAGAACTACCGCTGGAAACCAAAGATTAATTGAATAGACCGTTTCCTAATTCGACATTTTATTTTCTTCATTTAGAAATAAAGAGGGAAAAAGAAAAAAAAAAAAGGGAAACGGAAAGCCCGATATAACTGTTTCGTACTCGTGCTAGCAGTAATTACCTTATCCTGGCCAAAATCTAATGCCTCGATCTTTTGGTACGGTTTGTGACATAACAGCTGATTCTCTCCAATGGCTTTCATATTTTGCACGACGTACGTTCCACCAAAATGTGAATGTCTAAACATAACGATTAGATGACTGACGAAAATTTTAGAGTTACAGATTAAAATTATCAAATTTATCATCAGAATAACAAAATAAAATATAAATATAATGTCTATACATATCAACAAATATCTATCAAATTCAATTTCATATATGACTTCTGAAAATCTAATCAATACTGGAATGGAAGGCGGCTGTCACTAGCAGGTAGTTTGCTAAACGAGAAAGGTGCATTTTCTCTCTCGTATTTATTTGCTTCTTCAATTCGTCTTCAATTTCTTGCTTGTATTAGGCGTTCTTATGCAATCGATTCATTATAAACGTGAGATATAATTTAAATCAGACTGCTACTAATTTTACAAATAAATCTATATAAAATCATTTTTTGTTAAAAACTTTTTAAATCAATACTACTCGACTTTGCCATTTTTGAGCTCTTATTCCTGAAATATTGAATGTAAAACCATGTTTTTGACGGTACCATTTTATGGTAACAGCGTTGTCCATCGATTCACAGGGTACGAGAGAAAAGATCGATCTTTTTGCCGCCTTTGATTCCTTTCCAAGTTGCAAAAAGCTTTCTACGGAAAATAGAGGCACGTAGCAAAAAGATGTGAATAATGCACGATACAAGAATAAAACACGCGCACTTCCCAACAAGTGGATAAAAGCATCTATTCAGATAGTGGTTTAAAAACTAGGTCATATTTATTACACATATAGTATATAACACCATAGAAATAAATTATATTTCCTCTCACATAGCACTGACCATTTATTTATCATACATGTCCATTGAAATCACTTGTCACTCGATGACAATGCAATGATCTTCCTTTAGTTAATTACTAAACTATTCTATCTACCTCCATGAAGAGTAAATTATATTTTCAAAAAAGGATAAATGAAAATGCTGCATTAAACCTTACCTAGTTCCTGCATACTTTCTTACTTTCTCCATTTTTTTCTCTTTTTCTTTGAGTCGCGCAGCTAAAAGCGTTGCTTCATCCTTTTCTCTTTCAGTAATACTACGTTGCAAGCCAGATTTTGCTAATTGACTTGCATTTTGATCACGGAGCATTAACGATATAATCTAACAATGTAACATACAAAAGATACAACTAATTATAAAAAGATGAATTATTAAAAAAAAAAACTAAATAAATGAATATATAAAGGATAATATTAAATAAATAAAAATAAATCAAAATTATTTAGCACATACCTCTAAAACTTGCAAATGATATTGTTGTTCACTTCTGTTACTAGCAATAAATACTAACAAATCAACAATCCCTGATGTATTGAGCGCATACAAAACCTAACGAATGCAGAATATGAAAAATATATTCTTACACTACATTTTACACTACATTTTACACTACATTTAACATTGTACCTCATCATGAACCGTAGCATCATTATCAACACGTTTTTCATTTTCATCTGGAGGAATTTGCAAGACATTTCTAATAAAAATAAGAATTCTTTCAACAATCATCTCTTTTTCTTCACCTCTTTCTATATTATCCTACAAAAACAAAAAGGAATTAATCCTTTACTTTTTGATATACAAACACAAACTACAAACTTGATACTTACTAGTTTAAGAATTTCACTTAAACGGTTACTAAGTATTGTCCATATACGTCCATCGATTAAAGCTACTTTATATGACTGTGTATATGAAATTAATTTCAGGTATATAGTACGTTGCATTTTTTCAGTAGGCACTTGTTCATTAAAAAGCAATAAAACTGGACTTGTTATATTAATAATTAACCTAATTGAACATAAAGCTGATATCATTATAATATGTCAAACATTATGAAGTACATATTGATTTATTACTTGCCTCAGCAATACATCCCAAAGTTCAAGTTTATCATAATGCTCAATAAAAATTTTTATGAGATCAGTTTGAAGTATTTTTGTTTGACCGAGAAACTGACGTACAACATGAGACTCACTGTCTCTTCTTAAATATTTGATAAGATCCTTTATGACATCTATTATGAAATTGAATGAACATCAAATAATTCAATATTGTTCAATATAATATACAAAACATACAAATAACAACTGCTATTACCTAAACAGTACTTATCTAAATGATACTTAGATCCATCATAATAACCTAGTGCAGCACACGTAGCTGCAAGTTCAGTAGAAAGATAATCTGACATAATGATTGAAGTATATATCTACTGAATTCTGAACATCATTTTTGAACTTAATCCATGGATCACCTGCATAAACAATACAATAAAACTATTAACGTGACTTTATTAAATAAAATGTAATAATTACAATAAATGTAAGTATAGATTAGTATTTGGGCTAACATTAATAAGCATCAGTGAGTATTTTCAATTGTAAATCTTACAATCTTTACTACGTCTTTGTTACTTGTATTAATATTACAAATATAACTACAATTTCAATTAAAATAGTGAAGCAACGCCACAATTCAATCTATGTTACAATAAAATCATTGTAATCATAATTTATATATGTACATACAAGATGCAGAAGCCAGCACGCATGATGTTTGAGGTTATCTTTGCTTAATGAATGAAAGTATTTTAAAACACAATTAACAATTCATTATTAACACTTACGTTTGCAGCAAAAGTTTAAATTGATACAATAACAATCATTTAACGCTATCAGTTGCAATATTCACTGTTAAACACAAAAATTAATGACAAGAACGTCAAACGCAACAGGTGAGACAGAAAGCGCGGGAAAACATCATGCTTTTACGAAATCGACCGGTAGAGTGCCTGCTGTCAAATTAGAAATGAACAATATCAATCGATTCTTTAATAATTTTTATTTGATATAAACGTATAAATATTTTTTATAATCTGTAACATTATTTGAAAATATTTGATAAATTTACTACTCACGAGATCACTGTTACAAATTCATTATTATAAATTATAAATTATAAATGTCTTCAGATGGGAAAAAGTATTGAACAGGAAGTACATAAACATCTAAATGAAAGATCGATACTTACGAAAGATTGATTATTTCTAATTTGAACTCATTCGTAAAAAGAAAATTTTTTAAGAGTTTTCAGTTGGATATTATATCTGACATTAATTAAAACAGCCTTCCTCGCATTTTAAAACTACAAACGCAAATTCAAAGATAATTGAATCCCGTATTTTCTTTCCTTGCAATTTTAGCGAGGAGTTCTTTTCATCGCAGAGCATTTAATTAATTACTTTCGGAATGAACTTTAAAGTCGTAAACATGGGTGGCGTTTAAAACTTCCTATAAATTCGTGCAAAAGAGAAAAATGCTCGTTGCCTTGGTGAAACGATCGATGAGAAGCACAGTCGTGAAATTATAATCTTAGTCGTCGTAGTTCTAAAAAATTTGCTTCGCCAACCATGAAGCGTGGCAGAGCGTTCGATTAAAGCTTCCCCTCGCGTTCCCCCTTGTTCTTGTTTTCACGTGAATGACATGAAAGCGAACGGTCCGTTGTTTCGCTATGATACCGAGAATCGAGCAATCTGCGGTAGATATTGTCCACGAGCGAGGAAAATAAAGTCATAAATTCAATTTCGTTGGCCGGCTGTACGAGAAAGGGTGTGGAGAAGATGTGCCGAAGATATCTCAGCGATGAGAACACGGGAAGAAAATCAATAGGCGAGGGTGTTACGCAAAGTCGAAACAAAGTGGGACAGATTATTAGAGAAATGAAAGCATTAGGAGGTGACAGGTGTCGTATGTGTTGGAAGAAAGAGTAGAAATACAGAGAGGACGTTGCGTTTGACTGCAGCGAGACAAACATGCAGTAGCTAATCAATATCATCGACCCTATCTGGGTCAATGGGTTACCAGCCATTTATTTGCCATGACCTCGTCAACATTGTGTCTTATTTATTTATTCTGTTACATTTGCTCTTTGTCAGGCTGTTCCCTCACATCCGACAAAATGGACAACCAATTTTCCGGAAGCGCAGTTTTCAATTTGCCGTCGTCGCGTTCAAGCATTCGTTCTCGCATGTGTGTGCTTTCCAATATATTTAGGATAACAATATGAATCATACGTCGCATGGACTGCAATATTGCGCGTAGATATTTCACGTAAAAGAGAAAATAAATATCGCGTTGAAATTTTTCTTCGTTCTTCGAAACGGCATTTCATTGTATTTCATAAAACTGTCATGCAATTATCATATTTCCTCATGCGTTCTCCTTCTGTCGTTGTCGTTATCGTTATCGACTAGCGATACAAAATGCTATACTTAAAACGCGTTCAAAGGCAACCGCGTGCCGAGCTTACTTCATTAAACCGAGGTAATAGTGCTCTATATTTGAACTTGAGAGATGTTTCGCAGACTACTTCGTAGTTTGCCATGGAAAACTATAAGTCTGCCTGCCGTGGGAGTTGGCAGTTAAATGTCGTGTGCATAATTTACTCGTTAACTAGTTAATTTAGTTAAGTTTCGTAAGTTTCGCCGTGCGTAAACATAACTGTCTAGCAAACGAGTGAGATGGAAGCGGCAAATGTAGTCAAGCCGAAATAAAGCGATTGTATGTTTCGGAGCTATGAGCTATAAGCGACGGCAACTCTTTGCGATTCCCAGTAGTATGGAAGCATCTGAATGTTCGTTACGTGAAACTTGTTAGACACTAAAATGGCTATTAATATACGCTTAACTTCTGGAAATCCCACTACTTTTCATTGACTATAACGCCGCGGCGGAAACTTTGATATTAATCTCGTCTAATAAGAGTGAAACGCACGGCAGGAAGCGAAGCATTATTATCTATTATATTTTATTAGAAACGCAAAAACAGGGGGCAAAACAAACTCTGCTTAACTCTGCAATTTATAAACTGTTTAAATTTGAATTAAATAACTGCGCAATGATTTTGTACATTGGGAATTTTGGAAGAAAATCTTTATAGTAAATTATATTTAACTACTTACTTATCAACAAGCGTATATATGCGTTAAAACCCACGTGGAATTTTACTCAGTCATCTCTATACCGATCAATAACACACAACCAACACATCAACGAAATTTTCAATCAATGTTTTCAATTACTAATGAGACCTTCAATTAAAGGGATTTAAACCTGTAAAATCGGCTTAAGAACGTCTGCACCGAGAGATCGATTGTCCGTCGACAAAGGATTTTGGCTGTTGATAGTAAGCC